TAAACAATTTATTTTAATTGAAATAGATTATTTTAATTTGATTTACCTACCTCATGATATTGAATTTTATAATTAATAAAAAAATTACAAGAACCGGTGTTCTTATTATGTATCATCTCACCATATACTATTTACAATGTCGAGTTTTATATATCTATATATTTTATAATTTGTTGTAGTTTATTTTTTATGTGGTTGTCCCCCTCGTATAACGAATGCTGTGGATTTAACATGTTAACTCTATTGACTCAAATTTTTTTAATTTTTTTTAATTTTATATATTAATATTAAATTGATTAAAAGTGTGTTTGGTATTGTGGTAGCTGTTGTGATTATGGTTTGAAAAAAGTTGTTTTTATAAAAAAATACTTTTAGTTGAGGTTAGTTAGAAAAATATATATTTGGTTAAAACTGTGGTTAAAATTGAGGTTTAACAAAAAATAGTTTAATGTGCTTGGTTAAAAGAATGCTTTCTAAATTGAGGTTATAAAATAATTAAAAATATATTTATTAATATTAATGGTTTTTAATTTAAATATTATAGATTTAAATATTGTTATTACATAATAAAATAAATAATACTGATATTAAATATTTTTTATCGTTCCATTAAATTATATACAATTTCATAACGTATGAAATATATTCAACAAGGACTATATTTTTTATGATTTCTTAAGTGCATAACAACATCAGATAAGATATCATCACGAACAAAATTGAAGTTGCGATCAAATTCTATAAATGCTACATCATCAAGTGATCTCCTTCTAATTTTTTTTTAATAAAACACAATTAAAAATTAAAATTAAAATTAAATTTTTTTAACTAGGTCAGACTTCGCAAGAATAAAATTGGGATTGTGATCAAATTCTGCAAATACTATGTCATCAAGCGATCTCCTTCTAATTTTTAAATAAAACACAATGAAAAAAATAAAAATTAATTTTTGTTATCAAACCTGGTTCAATATATTTAACTTTAAACATAACCCGAATTGGCAGGAACAATGGAAAATAACTCCACTGTTCACTTAATTAAGTGAACACTAGAGAATTTACTCTCCATTGTGCAAAGCAGCAGCAGGAAGAAGCATGAAAAAGTTATTTTAGCTGAACCTACAGTTTCATCTTATTTTTTATGGGTTCCACGTGTAAAAATACAACCACAACTTATAACTAAACATTATGTCACTGAGTTTGAAAAAAAAAAGCAGCAGTTGTCACATAGTCAAACGCCTACTAGCAATGAGACTTTATAATTTATTTTAATTTATTTTTTATTTGGTTATCTTAATCGCATAACTCGAATCACAAGTTTCATAAGTTAACATGAAATTAACTCGGGTTGTTTTATCGTGTTCTTTTTTATATTATTTTTTTTCAATTTTTTCTTTAACAATAAGTTGATTTAAAATTATATATCACGATTTGTTTTAATTTGTTGATTTAGAATTATATATCACGATTTGTTTTAATTTTTTTATATGGAGTTTATCCTAATCTTATCGCTCGAGTTATGAGTTTAACAAGGTAATATAAATTGACTTGAATTGTTTTTTTAGTTTTTTTTATAAGGTTATTTTGATCTCATGACACATGTCATGAGTTTGACATGTTAATTTTATCATTTAATATTGAAAATATTAAATAAAAAAATATTATTTTAAATTTTTTAGTTAAATTATTTTTTTATTGATTATTTAAATTATTTAATTACATCGAATCATAATAGATTAGCCTCAGCATTGTCTAAAGTCTTCCATTACAAAAACATTAAATATTTATCAATTATTAAAAGAAATTGATCCGATCCACGTCCCGATACTTTGCGGTCAAAGAGCGGTTCTCCATGCTTGCAAACTCACCACACCCTAATGAATTCTCACATGAGTGTTTGAGTGTATTTGTTTATTTTATTTTTTTTGAAAAAAAAAGAAGCAAAACCATGTACATACAGACACACAACAATGTTAAAAAAAAAGAGCAAATACATTTAATAAGTAATAAAAGCAGTAGCCATATGGTGTTGATATGATATCATATTGTTGAATAATATATTATCTTAGCAAGATTTTCCTCCATAATCTTTGGTTGTTTTTAATGATATCCCCAGACAAAGAAGAAAGGAAAAGTTCCTAGATTTTGCTATCAAAGCCCTTACCATGTGTCCATGCTAATTGAACTTTTCTTAGTGTGAAACCGATCTGAGATGGACAATGAAAGCAGTGGTGGTGTTTTTTCTGACTGAAAATAAAGCTCATATATGCTCAAAATTATGAACATGCAAAAATCCATACTCAAAATCTATACCACCCTCCAGTAAGGACACGGAGGAAGAAAGGGGACCAGAGTCAACTGGTACTAGGAATGTTTCTTTGAATTCTTTATTTATGCCTTGTGGTGTGAATAACGTCTTATGTCTACCTCTCAGTGGTAGAAGACCGGAGGACCAGCTTGCTTGGAGGGGGGTTAGCTGGAATATACTCAGTTCAAAGTGGGTACTATAAAGTTATGGTAAGAAATTCCCAGCAGAGATTGTTGAGAATACAGAGGCATATGTTAGAATAAAATTTGAAAGTTGAAACCATGATCACCAAGAGTGAAAAACTTGTCATGAAGGCTTGGACGTGGTACCATACCACCAAATTAAGGGCAACTTGGCCAGAGGAAGGGTGATCACTGAAGGGAGATGCTACCGCCGTGGAGGAGAACCTGAATCAATTAATTTTCTTTGTGGAAGTTATCGGAGGTTAGATCATGGCTGCAACAACAGAAGGATTGCCACTAACGGGCGTAGCCTAATTAAGATGCGGGACAAAGAAAGATCAAAATGATTCTGTGGGCGGCGCAGTAAGGAAGGGAAGGTAACAGGACAGCACAGGCCTTGGCAAAACAAGACCCGAGGAAAGTGTTTGGGTGGAGGAAGCACCCCCTCCCCTCTCTATTGGGTTCTTAGTTAATATTGATTGATGTATACTCTGTTCCTTAATTAATAAAAGCAGCTTCATTCCTTCAACCCCACCCCATTGTCATTGTTCTCTCGAAGCTCAGAATCGTTGAATGACGACTTGTGTTTCGACTCGGCGGATGAGGCACTCCACTTGAAAAAACAAAGGCACGCATCTTTCCCGTGAGCTTGGGTGGTGCTCAAGCTTTAGATGCCCATATCGTTCTTGATCTTCTTCGTGGATTGCTTTGATACTTCTCTCTTTGACCCGACCATAAGTTGACTCGTAGACCCCCAACTCGACCCCTTGGGCCAATAAACTAGCAGCTCTCTTGTGCATTTGGACCCAATCGAAGCTTCCTGATTTCTTTTACTATTATGCACATGAACATTAATTATCAAGTGGTTGTTGCGTGCCACGTGTTGTGGGATGGTACGAGTTATTCCATTATTTAATAATTTAGCTGTTTTATCATGACCTTATTTGTATGTTATCGCTGCTGTTATTATAATTATGTAATTTGACTAGAGATCATACAGATAAAAAATGTTTAATCTGAATTCTTTATAGTGTTTCATTTTATATCAATTTTAATTTCTTTTATTGAAATTTAATTTACAAAATTTCTATCCTAAAAATAAAATCAAAACAAATCCGTACATGTGTTTGATTTTTTAGTAGACATCAAGATTTTTTTTGTTTAAAACTTACATATATTGAAACCTAATAATTAATAAAAAAAATAAATTACGTGCAAAAAATATTATAGTTTTATTATTGTAGAGATTGCTACTGTTTTTGCTTATAATTGACTAGGTTGTCAGAAATTACAAGGGAGTGTTATGTGCCTAACCAAGATTTGAAAAGCAATAAATCGCATATCAAAATAATTTAAAAATATATAAAAAAAATAAACAAAAAACATTTGAGTTTTTAAAAAACATCATTAAAAACAGAATCCCAAATGACCCCTTATTCTGCTATGTTTCATATAACTATATTCCTTCTATATATTTAATTTTATTTTGCTGATTTCTTGCACACCTTCCGCTTTCTTTCTGCATATGGTTTCAACTTTTCAGCATATGTATTCTCGACATCCCCTCTGTAAGTCGCACCAGCACCGCGACAATCTAGTCGGAGCAGCGGCTAGCTAGAGATCGAGACACTCCCTTAATGAGATCATCAAGCACCAGACCCTTAATGAAGAAGACCGGTTCACCTCTCCTGACAATTATAATTCAATGGAACATGCAACACACTGCGCGCGGGTTCCATTGACAATGAGAATTGGTTTCATAGAAGAAGCAACACGCATTGACGACATTGTTCCAGCACCATCAATTGTTGATTGTTCTTTTGTTTTCTAACATGACATTGCTTGACCCGGCACTTCTCAGTTTCATTTCCCTTTTTTCTTGTGAGCAGAAAAGCAAGAATAAATTACTAGAATCGCTGCCTTTCTTCCTATTTATTTTCTTCTAGTGTTTTCAAAGTCATGTTCATCACCACGAAATCAATTTATATATATATATATATATATATATATATATAGAGAGAGAGAGAGAGAGAGATATGAATTTGGAATATCCTGAACGAAGGCTCTCTTCTCTACAACGAACTCCGAAACGCCTTGTGTTACTGCACGACATATCATTCTATATTTCAGACGACGGTCCTCTCTAACGTGGATAATTCATAGCATCACGATCATTTCCTGATTAATGATAACAGGGAAGAAAGCTTTTCCATTTTTCCGGAAGAAACTCCAAGAAAGATTCGGAAGACATTATTTCTTTTCTTGGCTATTGGCAATTGCTTTCCAATCTCATCAAGGCCAGTGCCCTGATGGGGGCCTGGAAAATGTTTATCAAGCACATCGGTCAAATATAGCCTCCTTTCTCAGCTTGCTGGAAGGACTGTGCCTGGGTAACTTGCATTTGTACATGCATGCATGTTTTGCCCGTTTATTTTTTAAAAAATAGAAGAAAAATCAGTGGCCACAATCAGATGACACCATTTCCTAGGCTACGCCAACGCAAGGAGCAAGGCAGATAAAAAAATGCCTGTTACTTTAAATTGATTCAACAAATATTTTGCAGTGCAATCATGCACTATCCTACCTCTGACTGGACGTAGTGGTCAACTTTACAGTGAGGAGTTTAGATACGTAAAATCAGCAAAATACCTCAGCTCTTTCGATATTATATATGTAAGGGTCAAAAGATATATATATAAAGAAGAATAAACCATTACATAAATTTACTGAATTAAATACTCGCTGATGGTATAATTGCTAGCATCTGTTTTTTTTCCTCTCCCCCTGAATTCAAGTCATGGCCGCCTTCTGTACGCTTTCATGTATCATTCTTCCACCTTTGCTAAGCAAATGTTTTGTTCATGATCGTAAGAGCCAAAAATTTACACCACCATAAAACTTGTGTATTTGCCAGCAACAAATGGGCCGAGAAAAGGGCACAACCTGCAACGACATCACTGCACTCCTGTTTGCAAACGCCAACAAGAATAACACAGCATCTGAATCATGTTATCCTACTAGCAGCTTTTGCTTCCTCCTCTCTCTAAGGAAAAATGCATCTCTTATATGCCCTTACTGAGAACTAAGGAGTCTATCCATTTACCTGAATTCTCTCAATTGCATAATCAGAAACAATTATCTGGATTTTTGTGCATTTCACGGCGCCTTTGTTATTTCTTCTAAACTGCTTCCCAGTACTCCTCACAAGTGTACATTGTCTACTGTTGTCTAAATGGTTCCATAATTCAAATTCTCCCATTTGAAGGGAGCAACTAAGCCAATGTCTGGTGCACCTCGGAAGAAGAGGCAGACACAAACACAGACAGCAGCGATAGCAAGCATTGAATGAATGTATGGACGCTGAAGCAAGCCTTGTGAACCCAGAAACCTCCCATGGATCTCAGCTGCCACACTTGCACACTTAGCACAGGATTTACGCTCATGCTGAAAATGTGATATTGTCATAGGTTCTTGCTCCAAGGCTGCCTGTTCTATCTCATTTCCAATTGCCACAGAAATTTGGCCATTTCTTTTGCCAGCAAGTTTACGAGCCACTAGTAAGTTATGAGAGTGGTTTTTTGTCATGACAGCATAAGCATATGGAGACAGGCCATTTGCATCCAGGACAGAGTTCCAGCAGGACAGCCCAATCTGCAGGGGGGGAGGGTGAAACCAGAAATTCATCAAAGCAGAAAATACGAGTACAAAAACAAAAACACACACAACAAATGCAGCATAATAACAATTCCTTTCCTAACTTCTAACCATGATCCCAACCTTCCCTGCACCCCCAACAAGCCCATCAAATAAAAATATAAATTCACATATAATTGCTATTTTGAACGTAGTAGCACTGATAGGTACAACATACAATCCAATTTAGATTATTGCGTGGACAAAATAAAGAGTTACAGATGAGAGAGAGCACTTGTAGATCCCTGAAGCCCAGATACAGGAACGTGCAGATGCAAGGAAGAAGAGGGAGAGAGAAAAAGAGGGAAAGAAACATCACCTCATGTGGGTCATTTGTCAGGGCATCAACCAAACCATCTGAACCAGATGCACAAGCAGCCAAATGTAAAGGTGTAATACCACCAGGTCCCCCAACGTTTGGTGGGAAAATATATGTTCTAGAGGAATTATCACCGCTAATAATATAATAATGAATAAGCAAGTCTGCCATTTTCCTGCACCTCCTTTTCACTGACCGGTTCAAGAGCTGAATCTCATGGAGCATCTCCAAATGCTCCTTAGATAATTCATCCCTGCACGTATTTCTTTCTACCAGCATGTCCAGAATTGTTTTAACCAACACACAATAATCTCTTTCAACTGAGAAAATGAGCAGAAATTTGAAGCGGTTAACTGAATAATCTGGAACCTCATGCATAGAAGGCATGCTCTTCCTTTGGAAAAGCCATCCAAGCTCGTTTAAGAAATGCATAACTTCCTCCCTTGATCTAGGTCGCCCAAAATCACGAGCCTGTTCTTCTGAAACAATATTGCTGACTAGAACCTTTTCATCAAACTCAGATTCAAGGAGCCTCAATTCTTTACAGATAGAAGCATCAGCTATTATCACAGGAAAACTGTTGCCCTTGAAACCATTTTCTACCTGTTTGTAGCATTGTCAAATGTCACATGTTATCATTATCAAGCAATCTATTCGAGTATTTCTATACTTCAACGGCATGCAAGAAGGTGCAGAGTCATACCTCAATGAAACAACGACCTAAAATACTAGGAGATGGACCATGAATTTTGAAACCACCCACATTTATCTCATCATACATGGATCCTGGAGAAGAAGAATCTGTAACTTCCTTTGATGTGTATCCTCCCATGTAAGTGCAATGAATCCTGCAGCAATTGTGTACAAAATTTACTTAAAACAGCAAGACAAGGTCAATTAAAAAGCATTTAGGTGAGTAACTAAATTCTTACTTGGTGCCAAGACCAGTCAGATTTCTTCCCTTTAACTGAAGAGAGGTTTCTTGCCCACTAATAACAGCCACTGGGGACACTAATATTAACTCTGGCGAACTCCATGTTCTCCAAGATTTGCACAAACGAACTTTTCCTGAATATCATTGCAAACAACAATTGAATTATCATCAAATTGTTTCATAAATGACACATTATAGCCAAAAATTTCACAAAATCCAAAGAAAAATACATATATATAGTGGCCAGTCCACTTTTTTGGCCACATGGAGTATCATCGCTGAGAAAGGGCAAGGTTAGAACTAAAGACATGCAAATGGCAAAAAGTCCAAAAGAGGGGGCATGGAGAACCCAGCACTAATCCACGCACCATCTTTATGTGATGCTAGCTGCCTGCCTGTATTTAACAAAAACCTTCCACTCTTCCATAAATCAGAATCTGAATCTTGAACCAAAGAATCCACTAGCTGAAGCAGGTTTCTTTCAAGCTGCAAAAAACAAATATACCCTGCAAGTGGTCAGCATAAGGTTAGGTTTATAATTCCTAAGGTTCATTACACCAGTTCACTCACTTGCTCCCAGGAAGCAGATGGCATTGACAAATAAACTGATAGAACAACACAGCCAGGCCTTATATAACTCTCCATGTCTGATGGACTGTTAGATAGCCAATTGTATATCTGAAAGAGAAATGACACAATCATGTATTAGATAAATTCCCTCCAAATAAAACTGTCAGTTAGTAATTGTAGGTCTGAAAGATAAACGATGGATCCTGGTAGAAATCCTCAAAAAGCATCCATTACAGCGTCTCCATGCAAATTTATTAAAAAAACACACATAAAACCAAAATATACAATAAACTCACCTTTGTGCGCAACGTCCCAGGGAAATGACTAGGATCCTTGTCAAATAGTTTAAAAATTATTCGCCCAGTGCGATCCTGCAGATGAAAAACACAACCATTTGACACAATTTAACAATATTAGCAAATGCAAGTATGAAGAGAGAGCGGTTTGAAGCTAAAAATAAATACAGAAATTATTCTAATGACGGGCTACCTGAGGATCAGAATTCTGACTAGAAGGTGAATGATCAGACCCAGAGGAAGATGTGTATCCTCCTTGGTATGGGAAACTTTGAAATGAACTGTGGTCAGGTTCTCTGTTTGGCCCTCTAAAGAGCTCAAGCGGCAGAACACTGCCATGACTTCTGCCACCACCTACATTTGCATTGACCTCTCTGCTGACTGACATCTTTTCTGATTTCATAGTTTCTGCAGTGCTCTGCAACGGGAACAACTTCTGCACAACAGGAGGGGATGATGATGGAGACCTCTCTTCAATGGGATTACTGCTGTCAGAAGAAAAATATTTCCCAGGAGATGCTGGTTTTTGACGGCTCTCATTCTCAGGTGATGAGCTAAACAGCTGTAATGGCAGGTTAGGACGAGATTCTTGAATCTGGTAATCTGAATCTTCAGCAGGAGACTCATAACAGTGACTAATTCTCTCAACACCCACAGCGGGAAAGTCAAAATTAGATCTTTTCTGCAAATGGGGCACAGTCACTTGATTGGGGCCAGGCAACTTAGACTTGTCACTGTCACTGCTCTGACTGCTTCTTTGAGACAAAATTGCAAGAGCATCTGGAGCAGATGCTGTCAAAGTGGTTGAAAGAACAGCGAGTAAGTCATTGGTTGATGGAGAAGATGCAGTTCCATTCAATCTGTTTTGATGTCCTAAAGAAGGTTGGTTGGGGTTTTTCACATTTAAACTTGCAATATTTGATAACTTTGCAGCAAGATCCATTGGCAAAGGCAGTGAATTTATTTTGTTAAGAATCTGGATAAGTTGGTCTTTATCTGGTACTGTTGGGCAGTTTGTACTTTTATCATCATTCCCCCCTATGATTTTCAAGGTAAAGATTTCAGCACAGCACAAAGGGCGGAACATAAAAGTCAATCATTGGAAGATATGTTTTACCTTGTGAGCGAGCCAAAGCAGTTAACAAGTTTACAATATCCAAGTTTCCATTATTGTTCATATCCCGGTTTCCAGGGAGTAGCAGACGTGAGGTAACATCCTCAGGCTGGGTTTTCCTCCTTCGTCGGTTGTGCCCTGCAAGCCTACGTCTACAACTTCTCTTTCCCTCATCGAATTCAGTGAGAGGATGAAACCTACGTATTGCATAGAAGGTCTCATATAAGCTCACAGTGGAAAAACTTATTTATCAAAGCAAAAGCATTAGAATAAAACATCACTATGTACCCTATCAAACAAAAAGAGAGCACTTACAAATAAGAGAGAGAGAGAAAATAAACTAAGTGAAGAACTTGAGTCTCTCAAGTTAATCTAGTGGTATAAGGCTGATAAAACAATCAAATATGAATCTGCACAGCAAATTAAAGACAACCTGCTGCATTGCTGACAAAACCTCTGCATCTGTTTTCCCACTAGGGCTTTTGTGGCTTTACTATGAACCTCGCACACTTTATGTCGGCGGTGATAGTCCTTTGCTTTAGTTAGATCTTCCTTGCAGTTATCAACCTGACACGTTGGATAACTACCATTGCCAGGTGATCCAGACCTGACCCTCTTGCTGGGTCTTGACGCAGGCTCCTCAACAGAAGTCAAACTCCCACCTAGATTCAAGCCAAGACCATCATCATCTTCACTAACAGAATTGGATTTGTTTTTGGAATCACTCTTATCTTTTTTCTTAAGTTCTCTAGAAACAGTTCCCAGCCGTAAAGTTTCAGCAGCTACAGAAGGTTTAGCAACAAAACCGACACTATCCCAATCCCATGCCTTGGAATTCCAGTTTTTTTCCCTAGAAGTCTGAAGAAACTGATGTTGTTGGAGCTGGGAATTGGGAGACTGGTAAGAAAGTTCATGTTTTTTTGCCATGGAAGTCATATCACAGTATCTAGTAGAAAGTGCTTGATGAATGAATATGGGAGCAGCTACTTGCGCGCCCACCTCTTCCATGACTTTGAAAAGGCCTCACCCTCACAAATAATAAAGCCTACATGCATAAATAAACAGATAAAAACCAAAATCCAAAAGGGTTTTCCATCAGAATTAGAATTACTCATAAAAGATATCAGTCTGAACAAAGAAATTTCCTTTCTTTCTCATTTTGTTTCTTTTTTTTTTCAGGACAAAAAAAGAGGAAAAAGAAAGCCCTCAATCGAAGTCTGGAGTAAGCAAGGGCGGCGAGTAGTTGTCAGGTTTATGTAGAAGTATGTTCTCTATCAGATAATAAAGCAAGCAAGGGCAAGCAGTTGTCTGGTTCATGTAGAAATGCGTTCTATACCAGATAAATTTAGAAAAAAATAGTTATTATTATTGAGTTATAAATAGAGGTCGCAAAAATTGTTAATTTTAAGCTGTGAGAGAATAAAATAGGAGATTGGTAATTACAAGGAAGAAAATCTAGTGAAATGAGAGAATCAAAATCTAATCTACTTCTCACACACACACACATACCTTAGGAGGAGGAGAACGGCATCCCCTTTTGCCTGTAATAATCGAACTCTTATATTTCCGACCAAGACCTCAGATCTGAGAGTTAAATCCTCAAAAAAAAAAGTCCAACGTTGTTTGGCGGCGAATCAGCAGATTAACAATAATAACGATGATCAATCTGCAAATAAGAGGAAGATGAAGGATCGATGGATGTCTCTTTGAATAACTTCTATGTTCTCTTCTCTTGACCCTTTCCTTTCCTTCACCTTTAGAGAAGAAGTTGTATAACAAACTTATTTTTCTTTTTTTCGGTGTTTCTGGCACAAACCGTAAATTCGAGCATTTTTTGGGGTTGTAGTTTGGGCCGCCCACTTACTTACGAATCATCCACGACTCTTCCATCCTTCCCTCCAACTCCTCCTGTTCTATCAGGCTATCTTTCTTTTCCACCAGGATAATTATAACGTGACGGTACCATGAATTATCTATGATTACGAGAAATAAATAGATAATAATAAAAATAAATAAATTCCATTATTAATATATAAATTTTAATATTTAATCATTGAAAATATAATTATAAAAATTCTCATAAAAATTAATTACAATCTTACAACAACAACGTATAGAAACTTTACATCCTACTAAGATTTTTCCAATGATTAAATACTCCATAAGTAAAAATAAAAAAAATGCTTATCATGAAAAAAATAATAAATTTATTTTAATTTAAATATTCTTTGAATTTTAAAAGGGATTAAAAACTAGTATAATGTTGACAAATAATATTGCATGTTTTATCCAGGATTTTTTTATAGTAATTAAACTTGATTTAGAGATTGATTTAATTTGAAATTTGAGCTATGAATTAAATGGATTTAGTTGAGTTGATTCAAGTTAAGATTTTTTAAAAAAATTAAGAATTATATTATCTTAAAAAATATAATTTTTTTTAATAATTTAATAATTGATGAATTATTGAGGTTGTCAAATAATCATCTTAATTTAATAACTTAAATTATTAGATGATATTTTAAAATATAATTTATATTATTATTCAATATATTTTATTGAGTAAAAATTATTTGAGTTTAAAACTTGAATATATTTATATTATTTTATGCTTGAGAATAGTAAAATTCAAAATAGCAACCAGTCGGTTATCAAGACTTTAATACTATAGCAAATAATTATCTTAATCCAATAATATAAATTTTTAAATAAATTTTCATGATATAATTTATATTATTCTCAATTAGAGTTTACCTACCTATAAATGTTTAAAGTAATATTTTATATTTTAGCTGTGGATGTTTTTTAAATTATTTTTTAATTGAAGATATGTTAAAAATAAATTTTTTATATTTTGTAAATAAATTTAATATTAACATATGAAAAAATCTAAAAATAATAAAAATATATATTTTACGCCACAAAAACAGCAGCCAGTAAGAACGCAACAATTAGTCCATGTTGAACAGGGTTAACGTGTGTGCATTGTTATGGGAACGTGATGATTAGCGGCTGCTAGTCTTTCAAGTGCATGACGTGGATCGACGTGGCAGATGCAAGATTTCTTGGTAGCACTGGGAAGATGGCTCCATTGCTCTACCACTGTCTGCTTTCTTTACCACAAACCACCCTCTCTTTCTCTTAATAGCACTCATTCTCTACCCTCTTTTTTCCTTCGATTCGCTGCTGCAAGCCCACCTCGGTATCATTCCCCTCTCCAAACCCCCCTTTCTGGTAAAGAGTTGACCGACTTTTACTTGCGTTTGTCAGCTTCAAAACTCCCGACTTGAAGAGTTTTAAAGAGTTTTTACTCATTTCTATTTTCTCATATCTAAATTACTTGAGTTTTATACATAAACAATGAAAATAAGTAAGTATTTTCAATTCATGTTAACTTACTAGATGCAGATATAGTATAACATTGATGAATTAGTACTCGGTAGATTAATAATCTTAATTAAACAACAGTTTTATTTGATCTGTATTTGAATTTAAGATTTAAATAATATATAGATTAATTAATTAATTAATCTTATAGCATCGATTTATAGAGGTTTGTCATGTTTTGTGTTTCATTTTTGTTTGAATTTGAAATAAAAAGAATGGCAAGGCCAGGCTGTGGCGGGGTTTTTTTTTTCGATGCCTAATGTCCTGACCTTGAGCACGTGGGACTCGAGGAGCAAGTTTTCGGAAGATGTTTTTATTGCCTGCAGCGGTAACCGAAGGTTACCTATTTGATTTCCTATTTTGCCTTCCTTTTCTGATTAGTTGTGGGAGATTATTGGTTTCTTCCAAACGCTAGTCTTGCATGAGTTTAAGGTTTATCATTTCCTTTTTCAACGCACGGTAAGACTATAACCTTGGCGTTTGAATAGATTATTCTTATGCTCTTGTTATTTTATTTTTTTGGAATAATTTAATTATTTTAGTATTTTTTAAGACAAGACCAATACGACTCTCTTGACAATGTTTTTTTTCATATCATTTTACATTTATGCTGTTGTAGATTAAGGGATTCCTTAGAGGTAATATTGTAGTAGCTATATATTTAACAGTATTCATAAAAAATTTGTTGTTGAATCGTTTCTTCTTTTTTTTTGCTTTTTCTCTTATCTCTTTTCTCCTTAAATTTTATGCTAGCTCTTGCAAAATCTCAAAGGAATCCCTTCAATTATTATTTCATTTATGTTTGGTTACGTTAGTATGCATTTGATTATTATTTTTTATTTTAAAATAGGCTATAAAATCATAAATGATTTTCAATTTCACTCCCTATTATTTTTTATTATATAAACAATCTTTTATTCATGAGTAGTTTTTATTTCACCTTCTATCATTTTTAAATATATAAATAATATATCAAATTATAAATATTTTATAATTTCACTCCTATAATTCTTTTTAATCTCTCAAATCTAGTCCTTCATATTTTAATTACTGTGTTTATTTTGTATGGTGTCATTTTTTTAATTACTGTTTATTTTGTTAAGATCATTTTTTATTTTTATTGTATGGTGTCATTTTTTTAATTACTGTTTGTTTATTTTTTTAAGATCATTTTTTATTTTTACTTTTTAAAATTTCATTGAACCGGAAGAAAAGTTAATATAATTTTATTATTATTATTATGATTATTGGCATGGTAAGAACAGTAATTGATGATCCAGAAGGGGTGGTGCATTGCATATGGTCAGGAGATTAGCAGCAAAATAAACATCAGCTAAATAGAGGATACCGCGTGGTCGGTCCTCGGTGTCTTTGGAGTCACGTAAATGCCGCCCTTATTCTTTACTTTTCAAACACCACTCCCGCAGGCAGACTTTCTTCCCCCCACCGAAAGAAAGGCTCCCAGATCCTGCTGGTCCTTCTCCATCTGAATTTGCCCTCGCACTCCTTGTAAATTTGCAATAATGGTGATTTGTTCTGGGCGTGGAGGTTGAAATGACCCAAACAACCTTGGATTGGATGTCCTTGACTTTATAGTTGCTGCTGGTACGTACAATCTTGTCTCCCTTGGCCATTGCCTGTGAACAGCTCGCATCTAATACTCTACTGTGCTGGTGGGGTAGGGTTGGGTGAATAATTCTTCTGATCAACTTGTTAGTCATGATTCCTAGTCTTGATTTAAGTTGGGTATTTTTTTTTTATAAAAAAAGATGGAAATTGATTTGTTATTAATTCAATGAATCAACCCTCGGTCAAGTTCAACTTGTTCAAGCTTAAAAAAAAAAAAAATAATTAGTTTTGATAGACTCGTCAAGACATTTTCCAGTAACTAGTACGTGCAGCTGTTACTATAGTTGCGGTCGTAGTACAATAAAAGAAATATTGTGGGTGGCGATGCTATCGTCCGGACACAGTAGCATGTGGAAACCAGCTGTATTTATTATTTAAGGCACGATGCATATGGTCTGGTTCCATGGCTTCCCACCTGTTTGACCTCGAGGTTGTATTTATTTTTTTTATGAAAATTTAATGATTTTAAAAAATATATAGTTTAAAAAATAATATCTATTAGACTCTAAAATTTTACTATATATGAAGAAGCGAGAGCTATTTTCTTTATTTAGATCCATTGTCACCCACAACAATACACACCACGTGGACTTGTTTCTTCTTCCTTCTTGTTTTTGGCATCATAATTTATGGTGTAATTCTATGAAGTAGCGTCAATGTAAATTTACCTTTTCTTGTAATCCCACAGTGACATGAGATGACTTAAAATTACATGTGAAAAACCTCGTCCATGGTTCATTTAAAACAGAACAGGGATGGCCACCTACTAATCCATCAAGATCAAGTCATATAAAACAATTCCCCGTTTAGTCTTTGCTTAACAATGCGGCTTGATATATTTTTAAAGTGTTTTTAAATTTATTTTTTTAATATTAAATTAATTTTTCTTTCCTGAAAAAACATTGAATTGATGTTTTTTAGGTGTTTGTAATAATTTTAATATTATAATATTAAAAATAAAAAATCTAAACAAAATTATTTCCAATAAAAAAAGATGTCTAAAAAAACAATATATAAAAATAATATTTTATTATTATTTTTTAAATTTTAATTTTTTTAACCGTGATTGGATTATATCCCAAACAGACTCTATCTTTTTAAATATAAAAAGTTATAAAAAAATCTTTGTAAAAAATTAAAATAGCAGATGAAAGTTTGAGAAAGATTGATAAAAATTTGTTTCATGTTTGATATTGTTGTTGTTTTTCTTGTAAAAAAATAGATTTAAAATAATTATAAAAAATTTTAACTACAACTTAAAGTAAAAATTTCCAGCGAAATCCATAATAATATTTATTGATTAATTAACTATATACTTTAAATAAAACACCGACAACACCACACATGACCACGCTAATTATGCCACAGGGGAAGAGCACGGGATCAGTGCTCCGAGAGTCCAAACCATCCCTGTACACTGCTGGGCGCATGAATAATGGAAACGTGGTTCTCGGATTGTCTTGGACTATTGTGTGCCGGTGGTACAGGCCAAGGCATGGTGTTTTAGAGTCGCGGGCCAAGCAAAACTTACTTTGGCAGAAAACTTTGTACGGATACAGGGAACTTGATCAAGTAATCCATCACCTCAGGGAAAAAAAAAAAAAAAAAAACAAAAGGAAAAAACAGGAAAAGGTGCATCTGTATACGTGCATCCAGGACACTGAATCCCGCCTCCACGAGACAAGACCTAAATGATTTTTTTATATATAATTGAAATCTCAACAATATAAAACGTAGCAAACACTACATTGGTGGCACGTTCTACTCCACAGGCTGGCATCACTCTTTTCAACATGACAAAAAAATAAAAAAACAAGAAGAAGAAGAAGATCGTTATATTTTTAAATAAAAAAAATTTTATTATTAAATTATACTTGATTAATTTAATAA